ATATATGAGTCTCTGCATAGTGAATTGCAGTGTAATGTATTTGGTTAACAACTTTGAATCTTCTTTGTGCATAAGTTCTTTTGCGAGCCTTTGACCTCTTTAAAGTGGTGGAAATATGTTTTATTCGGCTGTCACAGTGTCTGTCTCGTCAGAGCTGTGCAGTAGCCACCTGGTGAAGGAAAGGGTGGAAGACCTCAGGATGCGCTGGCTCTGAGTTATCACAGAAGATCTGAGCAGCACGTGGTCTCCCGTGCCAGGGTAGAACATGCTTGTCCACCACGGAATGCAGAAGAGGACAAAGCTGAGAATCTAGTGTGTGACTTCCTAAAGTTTTTTCACTGTCTCTGGTTTTTCACCTTGTTTTGGTTTTCTGACTTTGGTCTGCGTGCAACTAGCGTAAAGAGGGGACATTGGAAGGCCCTCCCCATGAAGGTGAGAGGCGGTGGCATGCACTGCTGCGTTCCCAGGCAGTGCAGCCAGGAGATGCTGCAGAGGAGGGAGCGGCGTGGAGATGGAAGCCTGCTGGGGTGCCCCGGGAGCGCCACTGTCCCCTGGAGGGGACCTCTCCCTGGGGTATTCCAAAGACATGGTTGTTTATTGTTTAGGACAATAAATAATACACTGTTTTGAAATTATTTTGAAATTTAAAGTATTTTGAAAGAAGAGATACTGGTGTTTCTCAAAAGGGAAATAGTGACATGTGGCACCATTTCATTATTTATTCATACCTGTTTATGGGGAGGGATTTTCACAGCTATTAAGAATGCCTGAGCATTTTATGATTATTTTGTCCCAGTAAAAAGAAAACAGTAATTGCATATTTATCAAAATGCTAAAAATTAATTGAAGATGTGCAAAGTACGCTTTACCAATACTGCTAGGGATTGAGCCCGGGACTTTGGCTTGTGTTACATCACCCACATTTTCATGATGAAGGGTCTTGCTGAGCTGCGGTAGCCCTGTCTGGGCTTGAACTTGCCGTCTTCTTGTGTCCACCTGCTAGAGTGCTGAGACTGCAGGAGTACACTTCAGTGCCAGGTCATGCACTTTCTTATAAATAATATATTCTGAAGGCTTTGAATTCTTAACTTGATTTTAAAGCTAATAGCAAATCTACAGATGTAAAATTTTTTACTTTTATAATGTGATTCATTAAATCTGTGTTATTTCTGAATTTCCTTCTAACATTAAGCAAATGGGCAAAACCAAGTAGCCCAAAGAAATCTGTTTTAACCACTTCTTTTTTTTGGATTGAACTCAGGCCCTTGTGCTTGCCAGGGAAGCACTTATTCCACTGAGTCATCTCCCTGGCCCCTTAACCCCTTCTTATGCCATGTAAAACTAGAAGCACTTTTAGCTCTGCTAGGCTGCTTTAAAGAGTGCATATGGGCTGGTCAGATAGTTCAGCGTATTAAAGCAGCTGCTTAGGCAGACGCAGGGACTGGGTATTGAACCCTGGTGTGCCATGCTGGCCCCACCCCAGGGTGCGCTGAGACTGGGTGTGGTGGCGCACACCCATAATCCCAGTACTTGGGAGGCTGAAAACAGGATTACTACGAGTCTGATCTGTGTAGTGAGACCCTGTAGACCCTATACTAAATACGTAACGTAAAGTAAAGTAAAATAGCATGCAAAGCTGGTTCCTCTAGTCTGATCCGAGGGTTAGGCCAGTGCTCAGCCTTCAGAGCTGTGATTTCCCACTGTCGAGCAGGGGTGATAGATATCTCAAAACCCTGCTATATAGTGAGCATGTCCACTGTCCAGAACGTTGACAACACACGAGAAAATCTTTGCGCGGGGCCCTGTTCCTGGGATGCTGTTGATTGGGACGTGTGGCCAGGTTCACACTGCATACATCTCAGCCTTGACCTCCTTCCATGTGGGTGCTTTCAGAATTACACCTTGCTTGCTTTTGTAGGAAGTGTTCTCCTTTGCCTGTAAGGAATTTGAAAGAATGTTGTATTTTATGAAAAATGGTACCACCAGAGCAGGCATTGCAGTCGAGTCACAGCTCCACTTTTCCACATCAGGGAAGGCTTTCTCTTTTTATCACATATTCTCACTTATGTGAATGACTTTCCCAAGTTGAAGTTGAAATATCTTTAGATTACAGCCACCTGCTTCCTGCCACAGCACAGCCTGAGAAGATTATTGCCTTTCCCTGAGTTTATGGGAACATTTTCACCTCTGAAAAGAAGACCCACCAGGCTTGTGTTACATTGTTTACCATAAACACTACTAATACAAGCGCCTCTGAGCCAAAGAAAAGTGACTCTGCTTTTAAAAAGTTAAGAGTAAGTTTCATTCTCTCCCTCCCTCTCACATCAAAGGGATGCCTGGTCCATGCGCCTTTGTGTGGCTTCCTTCTTCCCTCCCTTCTGTCCTATTCCCTGCCAGTCTCTTCTGCCCTGTGCACCCCAAGGTGTGGCACTTTCCCTCATCACAGATGTGGTGTAGGTCTCCTCACCTGTGAACCTTTTCAAAACATTTCAGTTGCTGGGCTTCCTGGTTCCCTGTACCATCAGCATTGTATTGCTGGCCTGGACAGGTTTCTCTCTCTCTGCTGACGTAAGCATAGGATTCCTGGGTCTCTGGGCTCCCTGGGCTGCGCATGTGACTCAGCTCACATTAACAGCTTACAGCTTAATAGAAATTGGCTGCATCAATATTGTGTTTATCCTCAGCATAAGCTTCTAAGGAAGGTAACCAGATACCCTCCTTCTTATGTGTTCACAACAGAGAGCCTTCCAGGAGCAGTAAGTTCTAGCACTTTGTTCCCGTCCTTAGCCAATAGTGCCCTCCAGGCAGGGAAAGGCTTCTCAGTGACAGGACAGAAACAAGAACCACTACTTGGTCTGCTGCAACTTTCCTGTGTGTGTAAGTCAGGAATAAACACATGAAACTGGGACTGAGCTGACAACAGTGGCAGGAGGAACGAGTGACTCATGGAGGGCAATCTTAGAATGGTAGCCAGTAGCACTGGAGTTACAGGCTGGCACTGCACTTTCATTGTTCATAGTTCTGGACTAGAGCATTATGAGGGCATGTGTGTCACATGCCACCTTAGAGTGGCAGTGTGTAGAAGGTCACCCCTTGTAGAACAGCAGCGTCTGATAGCTAGGATAGTTTGGCTGCTTTATCAAGATGTGAGAAGCCACCGCTCTCCTGTGAGGTGGAAGCCTAAATTCAATAGGTAAAATACATGCTGCCTTAAAATAAATAAGAGATGACAAGGACACCAGAAAGGGAGATTACAAAGAAAAAAAAGGCATCTAGTCCTAGAGTTGATAAAAATAAGGTCTGCCAAGTCCAGTGACTATCAGGGCACATGAAATTGTGCAATGGTGACCAACGTGTGTGTGTGTTTCCTATAAACAGTATTTTAACTAGGTGCATATTCCAAAAGATGAGGTTAAAAACTTTTATCTGTAAGTTTTTCTGTAATATCTTTGAGCTTCAAGAGGGTACCCAGAACGCTCTATCACATGGGCCCTCTCCACGGCCACGGACATGTCTTTTGAGTGATTGACTTCTTGTAGGAGGTAAGCCAGAAACTCTGGAGGAGTCTTACTTGTACCTTAGAAAAGGACTGTCATTAAGATAACGGCTTTTATGCACAAGTAGAACCGTTAGTTTTTTTCCCTGGACTAAGTTATAAGAAATTCCCCATAAAATCTATAAAGTTCTTAATTGTTTGCAATTTTTATCTGTAGTTATTTAAAGAATGTTTTGCTTTTTTTTTTTTCCCTGTCTTTTCAAAACACAGCTGATGTTTTTTGGAATCTTCCTGTGCCTGGACGCGTTTCTGTATGTGTTCACGCTGCTTCCTCTAAGGGTTTTTCTGGCACTGTTCAGGCTCCTCACCCTGCCTTGTTACGGCTTAAGGTAAGTTTCTGATCATTAACTTTCAAGTGTCTAAATTATTAATTGCTTTTACTACTAGTAAAATTTTTATAATTTGTACTTTCATACATTGGCCTATAATGCATAGATTTCTTGCTTATTTTTCAGTGGATATTATATAATAACACATTTTAAGTGCATCTTTTTTCCAGAACTAAGACTTTGCTTTAGTGGCTGAGGCAGTGAAATAACATTTATGTGGCAGACTGCATAAGGGCCCGGGACTGAGAGCCATCAGCCACTGTCCCGACTGCCTGAGCTGTATTTCCCTGTGGCCCCTGGGCTTCTAAGCCTCCTCTGTGATGGAGTCCACGTTCTCAGTGGGGGAGGTGGGGAGGGGCGCCCTTCTAAGGTGCTGGTACTCTTCTAGCTCTCCTGAGAATCACTGTCTGCGGCCTGGGGAGCCTTAGCGGTAATTGTACAGGTGAGACACCCCTGACTTAGGACAGTGGGAAGCTCTCCGAGGTCACTGTCGTAGTGAAAAGGATCAGACAGCTCAGCCCAGCACCGATAAGCTAGTGAACTGTGGCCACCACTGACTTCTGCAAGCCTGTTTCCTTAAAGAAGAGGCTGTTAGGAACTCAGCGTCTGTCCCAGAGCCTGGAGGTACAAGGTGAATGCCCAGGCATCGTGCCCAGTGTACAAAACAAGCAGCAGTCCCTTTCCCTTTCTTGTCTCCCGGAGCAGTAACGGCGAAGTGGTAAGCCTCGTGAAGCTCCGTGCTCTGTGAGCCTTAGGGCTGGGAGGCCGTCTGCGCGTTCCGGGTCCCGCTCTTCATAGTTCTGGAACTGTGCCTGCGTTCCGCGTGCTTACTCCCCGCAGCATTGCTGCTTAGCCTTCAGCATACTTGGCTCTGTTACATTTCTAACATAGATTACTTTGTAAATACATATATTTCTGGGCCGGCCAAATAGCTCAGCGGATTAAAGCGCCTGCAAGCAGGCCCAGGGGCCAGGGGTTCGATCCCCTGGCCTGCTGTGCTGGCCCCACCCCCTGGGCACATTGAGACTGGGAGACTGGGAGACTGGGAGACTGGGCATGGTGGTGTGCCCCTGTAATCCCAGCTCTTGGGAGGCTATAAACAGGCGGATCACTATGGGTCCAATCTAGTAGTGAGACCTTGAACACCCTGTAGACCCTTCCCTAAAATACAGAAAAATAAAAAATAAAAAATAAATAAATATATTTCCTAAAGTGTATTTTCTAAATACATTTTGTTCTGAAAAAGTTTAACAATGATAAAATGAACAATAATTTATGAAACTTCATTTAACACTAGTGAATATTCCATGGGCTATAAAATGTATACGTAATTTTAAAAACTTTACCCTGTAAATTGAGTTACAGAATTATTGATCCATATACAGAATTACATGTTTTTTAAAAGACAAAAATCATGGAATGATATATTTTCAAATATAAAATGAACATATACTTAGTATTAAGAAACACATACAGCTCCTTTAAAATGAGTCTTAATCAGTTTCGCTAAAGAGAAAGTCTTCCCATTGTAGCTAGGAGTAATTTAGTGACAATCATCTCATTTTGAAATGAATAAAAATTGTTTTTTGCAAAGTTGCATGAAATAAAAACAATTATAAGTATTCAGCTTGTATTGTTGTTATACATAATTCTTTACATTTTATAACCTTTATCACCTCCCAGAATAATAAGCAATTTATGTTTTATTCATTACAAGATGATCAGATGGAGAAATCTTTCTAGGAATTTGACTTTATAATTCAAGTGTAAATTCTCTGTCCCTTGAGGAGAGTTTCTGACAAGGTCTTATTAGTACATTTCTTAAAACTTACTTGTAACGCGGTGCTTTCATATGAACAAAGCATCACCTCAGTATGCAGTTTTCTATTTGTACTTCTGTTCCTATTTCTGTTTCTGTTACTGTTGGCTGCTTAATAAAATCCTGGCTTTTTTTTAACCTTTCTAGAAGACCAAAACAAAATCTAGTGAAATCTTATTAAATATAAACCTCACGTGTGACTGCATAGAGGGTGGACAAGTAGGATTTTAGATGAAGTCAGGTGATGCTACCTGACAAAGACTAACGGATATCATGTAGGGTTTGCACCTTGTTCCGTGCAGCTGCTGGCCTCGTGAGATACGGCAGGAAGGTGTTTAGGCCTCACAAGCTGTCCTCTTTTTGGAGGGTCCCTTCTTTGGGTATGGTGAACATGCAGGTCACGCACACCAAATAGCACAGATTGGCCAGTGTTCCAAGGGCCTCTTTGGAGGTCGTGGGTTCTTACTTGAAGACCCACCCTGTTGCTCAGGCATTCAGCGCTGAAAGCTGACATGCACTTTCATTTCTGTGTGTCCCTTGTCACTTGGGGAGGCAGGGTACCTAGGAGCGTTAGAAGAAGTCTTTCAGAATTTGTTCTAAATGCTAAAGGAAGCGTCTCAGGGAATGGGCAAATGGAAATCTCCTAAAGTTTCTTTACTGTAGGTGATGCCTCCAAGTTCCAGTGTTCTTTTCAGGATATTAGCATGTGTAGATGGTTGCTTTTTTGGTTTTTTGAAATTCTTTTCAGTTGAAATTAATTTGAGTCACATTTGCAAGTAGTGCTTTCTAATTTGAAGGTTTTTTAGTCAGGAGGCCACTAGAGGGCAGCCTGTTACTACACTTAAGACATAACTGGGAAATTACATTTCATGCCATCGTTAATAACGGTGTGACATAAATGAAACATGAAATGCTCTTCAAATGGTGTAACAGAATTTCAGTATGTAGAATACTCTGTGTGAAGATAGGCCAGGTTACACAGAAATGGAAAGACTTCGCAGGTCTCGGTGCCTTTAGTATGCCAAATCAACACTGAGCAATTTTTGCTTGCAAATGTGGGTCACAGTTGTCACCTTCTTTGATCAGCTTAGAAAACATTGTCTCAGGGGCCTGCCCATCTCAGGTGTTTAAGTGCCTGCTGAAACAAAGCAGTCAGGCTCAGGATGCTGTGGTTTGATCCCCTCATCCTCAAGCCAAACCAGACCTGCCCTGAAGCCATCCTGAGCGGCCCCACCCCATCCCCCCAAAAAAAGAAAAGATTGTCTCTTTAGTCCCTGTTTTTAAAAGCACAGAATTTAAGATGTATGATAATGTGGAAAGTTACATTAAACAAAGTTACAAGTTTAACACTTTTCAACTATTTGGAAATATAAACCATACTTTTTAGTTTTGTAAAGTAATTATTTAGAAATAGCCAGATTCTGCCATTTTATACCTTTCTTCCACTGTTCTCTCCTCCGTTAAAGATGATTTGACTTGTCTTGCCTGTAGCTATGTCATGTTCCATCTTTTCAGCCAACAAAAGTGCTCTTTCCTCCTGTCTTTTTTCCAAAGTCGATGAGATCAAAAAAATAGCAAAGAAGTTGATGGCATACTTTTTTCTGACTAATGTTCTCTTTTTCTCACTCTCCTATATTTCAGAGTTCTTTCCATAAGAAATACACTCTCTTCCTAGCCTCTTAGTTCTTTGAAATTATTTCCCCCAAAGGGGCAGAAGGAGCATGTTTGTCAGATTAATCAAACAGTGACATGGAAACGATAACTGTGCAGTCTAGGACTGGTTAGCAGTGTCCTGTCCCTGCCTCTGTCTGCGCACGCACGAGAGTCGCCTTTTTGCCTCTTCTGCCTGCACAGTTCACATACTGCATTTGTGAAAGGCATTTTAAAGGCGATGTCTCCAGATTTTCTGCCTCAGAATCTAGTCTTTGAACCTATTTCTAGATCCTCTACAAACTTAGCATGGGTTTGACTCGTTCCTTCCACCACCACCCCACACCTGCAGTCTTAAACTGAGTAAACAAATGTTCTGCTTTTCTCTAGGGTGAGGACCAGTAGAGCTCTGCAGCTCCTTAAGCCAAGCAGCCCTCGCCATGCCTTCCTGTCCAGCCGGGTATCTTGACCCTTGTGAAGTGTGTTCCTTATGAGAGAGGAGAGGGAAGGTAGCTTGAGTCCATAGCGGTGTGGTGGTCACACAACATGCGCTGCTTCTATAAGAAGCTTACGTCTGTCTTCAGTGATCTCAAAAATACTTAGAATCTATTTGTAATGAACTAAAAATCTTGAAAACTCGTTGCTTTCAGAAGATTTGTGTTAGACAAAGAGGAAAAAAAGCAAAATACATCTAAATTCTTTAAAAGCAGAGGCATTTATGTGTTTCTTTCCTATCCTAAGAGAAAGTAGCATTTTAGGAAAAAAAAAATATGAGAAATCAAGGATAATATGATCTTCTTGAATTAAGACAATCTTTTTAATGACATGGAAAACAAAATTAAGTTTTGAATCATTTTATGAAGTGTCTCCATTTCTGGGAAGAATGACAGGATTTAAAAAACCAAAAATACACTGTTCTCATTATGTTGATGAGATGCCAAAACATATTTTCCAAATTTACATACAGAAGCAAATTTAAAGTAAGTAATTGTGTATTTTTATTAACCTGTCATTTTTGTGAATCCTATTTTCCTTAGACTTCTCGGTTACATTTGATTTATAATTTGAAGGCAGTTGTAAAGAGAAATGATCAGATCTTGTGCCAAGAAGTGATAGTTATTTTTGAAAAAAACTACCAAATTGTTTTAGGCAGTGATAAGTAAGTTGATTAGATTTCACTAATAAATGCTAGCATATTTTTCTTTTATCATTTGAGCATATAAGATATGTGTAAGTGAATTTCCTGATCCTTTGCCCTGGTTTTAGGCATAATTCTTCTTGGAGGCTTCATTGACTATTTAGTTTTTTGTTTCTTTCTTTGTTTTTGCTTGTTTTAAGAAGTGAGGGTATCTCTTTTCTTTTAAGAGCTGACCCCATAGGAAAGCTCTTATCTCCCAGAAGAGCTGTGGACTTCAAATGCTTGGGTTTCTCAGCCTATAGGGATTCCTCCGTGTGCCTTAGCCCTGTTAAAGGAGTTCTTCCCATTAACTTTATATGTGCATTATAAATGGACATTTTTTCAGGCAAAATT